AGGTTGAGTGTCTCCCATGGAACTAAGAGCTCCCAGAGGGAGGAATGTGAGACTTCCCATTCCTGCCAGACTCAACATCACCATTTTAAGGGAAGAGATATTATACTGGGTCTTAGATCGGAAGAAAGGAAAACTTGCAAAACTGGAAGACGCGTGCGTGAGTGGCCAGACCATGGGGAGACACAGATAGGCACGAATCACTTGGGGAACATTTGTGCTGGAAGCTAGAGGCATTGGAGTTACTCCAGCCAGTTTCACTGGTAGCCTCAGTCTAGACAGGGGGTCCATCGAGCAAATGGGCAGCGATGTTGCATGTGCCAAGTGTGGGAACGGGCAAGCCCAGGGAAGCAAGCCAGATGGACACCTATCCCACTGGGGTGTGAGGGAAGACTCCCCAAAGGGGTGAGGTGAGCTCTGAGCCAAATTGTGGAAAGAGCAGGAGGTGGTCAAAGGAAGACTGTGTGGAGGAAAAGGCACAGCAGTGGGAGGAGACGTGACATGCTGGGGCAGGTTCTGGAGGAGCTGAATATGCCAGGGCCTGGGGGGTGGGGTGTCCCTGGGTCCCTGAAGATGTCTCATCTGAGCAGAACAGGAAATGGTGTGTGTGCGGGAGGGAAGAGCGGGATGGCTCAGGGATGAGCTGGGTCAGATGAGGGAGAAATGGGGCCTGCAGGGGCTGCATGCATGAAAGACTAAGGGGGCTCCTGGAAACAGTCATCCAAAGGAGGAGGCAGACTTCCAGCAGACAGCTTTAGAACTACATGTGACATTCTAGGCTTCTGGATTTCCAACAATGATGCCAAGCCTCCTCCCCCTCCTCCCCCCATCCCCCTCCTCCTCCCATCCCCCTCCTCCCCATCCTCCTCCTCCTCTTCCTCCTCCTCCCATCCCCCTCCTCCCCATTCTCCTCCTCCTCTTCCTCCTCCTCCTTCCCCTCTTCTTCCTCCTCCTCCTCTTTCTCCTCTTCCTCTTCCTCCTCCTCCTCTTCTTCCTCCTCCTCCTCCTCCTCTCCCTCCTTCTCCTCCCCCCTTTCTCTTTTTTTTCCTCTTCTAGATAAGGTCTCACGTATCCCAGGCTAACTGTGAATTAGCCATGTAACTGAGGATGGACCTCATCTCCTGTTACTCTTCCCTCCATCCCTAAGTGCTGAGGTTACAGGCATGTACCTGGGGTTGATGCTGGAGATCAAACCTAGTGCTAGGAAAATACTATACCAGCTGAGTAGAGTATTTCATTAACTCTGGATCTACATGGTTAACTCTGGATTTCCAAGGATTCTTGTCTGATTTCTGGACTGGGGATAGTATTGGAAGAAGACAGAGTAAAAATGAACGTGGAAATGACTGAACGCATGCGTGTGTGCATGGAGACCAGAAGAGGGCGCCAGATCTGTGGACCTGTAGATGCAGGCCTATCGAAGACTCCCATCTTATTATGTAGGTAGTGGAATCTGAACTTTGGCCCTCATGATTTCTCTTTTAAAATTTATTTGTTTTATGTATGTGAGTACACTGTAGCTGTCTTCAGACGCACCAGAAGAGGGCTTCAAATCCCATTACAGATTATCATGAGCCACCACGTGGGTGCTGAGAATTGAACTCAGGACCTCTGGAAGAGCAGTCAGTGCTCTTAATCACTGAGCCACCTCTCCATCCCCAAGTCCTCATGATTTCTTAGCAAGTGCTCCTCACTGCTAAGCCTCTTCTCTACCCCCTACTAACATTTAAAAGTTGTAGCTGACCTTAGCTACTTTATGGGTTCTTCTTCCTTCCACCACTCTTCTACCCTTTCCACCCTTGCACACTAGGTAAGAGAGAAAACAGGATAGAGAGGAAGGAAGAGAGATCTTTAAATAAAGTCAGGGGTCTGAAAGAGGTGACGTCATCATCCCTGCTGACTGGGAACATTGAGTTCCCTGAAGAAAGTTTCATCTTCACCACCAGGATATCTAATTTCTTCTCGTTTCTTCATTCCGCACAACTACTTAACAAACTGTGTGCCACCAAGAGCAACCACCCTGCCTCTCGGTGCCCTAAGTACACCCTCTGAAAAGTTCCCAGAATTCCAAACATCACACAATCACAGAAGCTATCTGCAATTGGCAAAAATCACACCCCTGCTAGAGCACGAGGCAAATCATAGTCAGCTGCTGTGGACAGTCTGAAGCAGCCCCATATCCCACACCTGGGATTAAAATGAAATAATATTCTTATAGTAATTTTATGTTTTTTAAAGAAACCAAAATTCTCATTATAGAAAATCATTTATTTTTATTTTATGTATTTGAGTGTTTTGCCGTATGTATACATGTATGCATGTATGTATGTATGTGCACTACATGTGTGCAGTGCCTGTGGAGGTTAGAAGAGGGCATGGGATCTCCTGGGACTGTGGTTACAGAAGGTTTCGAGCCACCATGTAGATGCTGGGAACCAATCCTAGGTCCTCTGGCATAGCAGCAAGTGCTAGTGTGTGTGTATGTATAGTATATTTGTGTGTGTGTAGTATATTTGTATGTGTGTAGTATATTTGTGTGTGTGTAGTATATTTGTGTGTGTGTAGTATATTTGTGTGTGTGTGTGTAGTGTGTGTGTGTGTGTGTGCAGCTATGCATGTGTCATGGTGTATGAGAGGAGGAAAGAGGACAGTTCTGGGGAGTGGGTTCTTCTCCTTCACCATGGGACCAGGAGATTGAACACAGTCCTCAGGTTTGTACAGCCAGTGTTTTATCCACCAAGTCATCATGCCAGCTCACAGGTGTGAGAACTTAAAACATGCTAGTGAGCCAAGCAGTGGTACTGCACGCCTTTAATCTCAACACTCAAGAAGCAGAGGCCAGTCTGGTCTATAGGGCGAGTTCCAGGACAGCTAGGGCTACACAGAGAAACACTGTCTCAAACAAACAAACAAACAACCCCCCCAAACCCAACCCAAACCGAAACAATAAACCCACTAAGAAACCAAACTAAACCAAACCAAACCAAACCAAACCAAACCAAACCAAAGGAATTTTCCATCTTTAGCTCACTTTAGTTTTACCCTGTGAAGTTGCTCCTGTGATTACCCATGTTCTACAGTTGGAAAAAGCAAGCAAGTAACTCATGCAAGGTGAAATCCTCCCACCCCCCTCAGGTTGGGCTTGCAAAACAGACCTTTACAGCATTTCTATATTCCTAAGTACTTCATTTTGAGGTAACTGCAAATTTACATACCGTGATAAGAGATAACAGTAAGAGATCCTGTGAGAATCTCCTAATAGAACATCTTGCAAGCCCTTTATCTATTCACAGCGTACCTACTATATGCCAATGCTCTAGCTTCTGGAGACATTAGCTAACAGCTAATGTTGAACGTGAATGCAATCCCCAGGGAGGGTTAGAAGCAAGGAGGGTGGCAGATAGACAACATTCAAGGGAAGAAAAACCCCAAGGAGACCTTGAGGGTAGGAGGCCAAGAGAGGTGGTCTCCTGGATGTGAAGGTGGACAAAGGCAGAACGGTGACGTGTCCAGTGTTGATAAGAGCTCCTGTAAGGAAGACTGGACATGTCCATTAGGTCTAGCAGCCAGAAGGGCACAGGTGACTCAGGAAGATGGGATCATAGTTGGTGAGGGATGAGCAGGAGAGAGGGCAAGTCAGATGAGGAAACAAAAGTGGGGGTAAAGAAATTTCCTGTGGATCTTGTCTCTAGGAGGAGGGGTGTTATTGAGAATAAAGATTTCAGAGCCCATGGGACAGTGATCAGCCTTAAGGAAGTGGGAAGAGTTGGGATTCCCAGTACAGCTGAGTCCTGGCTGGAGGAGCAGGCATGCCTGTTTCTCTGAAAAAGAGATGCTGGATGAGAGAGATGTCAGTGAAGCTTTGGGGTGGCTCAGGAGTGGTTATTGTCGGGGCTGAGCAGCCAGGGAAGGCTGCTCATATCTGACTCTTGCTAAGATGGCTTACTTGGGTTTGGATGGAAGCAAGAATCGGGGGGCAGGCAGGTGTGACAAGCAATTTAAGGACTTGGCAGGAGTCCAGGGCCCTTGCAGGTAACAAAGAGGGTTCAGCTGGCTGAGACTGAGGCTCTTGAAAGAAAACAGCAGGATAGATGAAGCCAGTAGATGCAGACTCATGTGGGTGATAGGATGAATGGGGTTACTGGCATTCAGTGATATACTTGGCTCAAATCCCAGTTCCAAGAGGTTTATGTGCTGTGACATTAAAGAAGCTACTTACCATGACTACAGTTTCTCATCTGTGAAATGGTGATAACCCCAATGGGGTTATTGAAGGAGAAACAGATAAGATAGTGTGCACAAAAAGCTTAGTGTACTGCCTGGCTGCTGGTTAATGCAAACCCATGGGAAGTGTGTTTTAAGGGACACCAGCTGGGTCACAAGATGTGAAGAGGGCAGAGCTAGGAACGGTCTGCACAGGACCTTGAACACAGATGCTGCTGCCCACCACTGTTCTGTCTCTGCTCGGCATCTGATATACAAGATGTGTTTTCTTCCTTCCCTAGGCTCTCGGAGCTTCTATCCAAATTTTCTTTCTCTTTTATTCTTCTCTCTCTCTCACACACACTTTTTTTTTTTGAGCCCATAGCCAAGGCTGGCTTTGAACTAGTGATACTCCAGCCTCAGAAACCCAAAGGCTGTGGTTACAAGTGCGTCACCACGCTAGGCTCTCTAACTGTCCTTGCTGTAATGTTCCGGAGCTAGACTGGTTCCCAGGCATCAGGTCCTTGGGTTCGGGGGCATTAAGTGAGTCATCTTTTGTGTGGCAGGAACAGAGTTAAACAGAAATTAGCCACAGAGGGAAGAGTGCGCAGGCGCAGTATCGATGCACTCGCTCACCTGCGCTTGGGTGGGAGGGGCTAAGCCCGGAGGCCCGACCCAAGGCGGGACGGACGCGGTGACGTCACGGGCGCGCCACCGCAGAGTGAGTCGTGTCCCGGAAGCGACGGCGGTGGAGGGGCAGACGGCTCTCTGGGGGACCTGCGACTTCGGAGCGTCGGTGGGAGGTGGCGCGGCGTGGGGTGGGGCGGGCCTGAGGGACCGCTCCGAGGGCTTGGTGTCCTTCTATTCCCTTGGCCGTCCCTGCCCCTCCCTTTCCTGGGACAGCGTCCGGGTAGGTGACGACCGTGACGCCCCAGCCCCACTGTATTTACAGAGCCTGGCGCTCTCACCGGGTGGGGGCCGCCACTTGCTGGCACAGCGACCTTAGGCGTGGCCTGCCTTGCGCAGCCTCGGAGGTGATGGTGGTCGAGGCCTCTGTTGGCACTGACCTGCTAAGCCTGTCTCGTGCTTGCCCGGATTTCCTTTCCTCCTAGCTCATCCTAACGAGAGTTTGGGGTCCAGTCCGCTCCTTTCTAAGTGATGAGTGGGAAACCAGGGTTAAGAGCGTGATAAGAGTGTTAGGAAAAATTCATGAACCTTTGGGAGCCCTGGTAAGGATCTCCTAGTGTACATTGGCGTCTTCATAAAGATTTCCCAGAGCAAGATGGTCCCCCTTACCCTGACACCTGCAGGATGAGTAGGGATTACCAGATAAAGATAGGAGAAAGATGTCCCAGGATATCTTTCTCTTGTGATTACCAACTGCCTCCCTTCAGCAACCTGGGTATTAATGGTTTGCATGCTCTTGAAAAGTCTGTGAGGGAAGAGAGCGCTGGAGGGGCTCATGAAGAACAGGCTTTGTATCTTAAGACATCCGGTTCACCCTGCTGTACTTGAGTAGGAACAAAGTTTCTTTCAGTGTGAAATGGGTATCTCGCTTACCTCACACGGTTAACCTTAAGAACCACAGGAACTAATGCAAGGGGAGATGTATTGAAGACTGGAAGTGCATTGTGAGTGTGGGAATTATGATTACAGAATGCAGACTCAGGATCGGGACCTGAGTGGGCCAGAGGCGAGCCCCAGCGGGATGCCTGAGGTTCTCTCTGAGTGTTCACCTGCCCCTACCAAGTCAACAGCGTTTGATCTCTTCAATCTGGTTCTGTCCTACAAGAGGCTGGAGATCTACCTGGAACCCCTGAAGGATGCCGGTGACAGTGTCCGGTACTTGCTAAGGTACAGACTTTAGGGGTCATCTTCCTTTGGGCTCTCCTGTCTCCCTGGTTGGTAGCAGTTCTGGCCAGTTAGGCAGTAGTTGGGCTGTCCTTTCTGCTCTAGTGATAACTAGGCTGGAGAGACTAGTTGTGTGACCTCTAGATTTATTCAGAGCTACCTGTGTTCCAGCTCTATGCTGGAAAGGTGGGAACTGGGAGCCACTTGGTCTTCATCAGGACTCTGAATGGATAAACTCCTCTTAGGGACTGCCAGAAAGCCTTGAACATTGGCCTAGTATAGCTTAGAGCAGACTCAGGGATTTTTCCCCCTTTCTCCAAATATTAACATACTTAATACTAAAATCTTGATTTTATTATTTTGTATGCATGTGGTATTGTGTGCAGGTCAGAGGACAGCTATTGGGAGTTAGTTTTCTTCCATGGTGGATTATAGTGGTCAGACACAGGCTTAGCAGCAAGCTGGCTAAGGTATCTTACCATCAAGTTATAATTTTAAACAAACTTCAACTACAAATAAACAAAAAAAATTAGATGCCATTTTCATTTGTTATTTTGGATTATGGTTTTCAATTTTATTTCCTATTTTGCTTCATTTTTTTATCCTCTGTAATTTCCTTCCAGCTTCCTTTTCCTTTTGTTCATGAGATCGTGTCTTATTATATATAGTGCAGGCTGATCTGAAACTCATCGTTCAGGTTGCTCTCAGACTTAACACTCGTTCTGTTTCAGACTCACAAGTACTGGGACCAACTTGCTTTAAAATTTTTTTCCTTTGAACTCACAAAGGTCTGTCTGCCACTATCTGGAGTGCTGTGATTAAGGGCATGTATCACCGTGCCTAGCCTGTCTTTTTTACATTAAAATTTTTTTCCTTATGTGGTTTAACTACATTTTAGATTTTATGTGTATGGCTGTCTTGTCTGTATGTATTTATGTGCACCATGTTTGTTTGGTGTCCTTAGAGGCCAGGAGAGGGTGTCAGATCACCTGGTACTGGAGTTACAGATGGTCGTCTCTGTGGGAGTGCTAGGAACTGAGCCTGGATCTTAACCAATAAACAGATCATCTTTTTTCAACTCCTGGACTTATGTATGCTAAAAAGTATTTTATCTGAGAATATGCCTATAATTCCAGAATTTAGGAGTTAGAGACAGGAGGATCAGAAGTTCAAAAATTATCTTTAGCTCCATAGCAAGTTTGGGGCCAGCCTGAGCTATATAGCACCTTGACTCAAAAAAAGCAAAAAAACAAAAAAACACCACACATCCCCAAAAAGAACAAATTAAAAGGATAGCCTAAATTGCAAATAAATGGCTTTGCACTTCTGATTACTTCAGTTTGTGTTTTTTAATAAAGGCATTTGATATCATGAAAATAATGTTATACTTAATTAAAAGTAATTCTTTGATATCTTTCTCTGGTCAGCTCCTACTTTCCTACTTTTTCCAAGGATGTCATGGACACTTGTTTTGTATCTCCTGTCAAGTTCCTATCCAGCACTGCATTTTGTGTGTTTTTTATGTCCTATAAGTCTTTTTCAAACTAAACCAGGCTCTTGGCCAGTGCAACCAGGCTCTTGGCCAGTGCACTGGTTTTCTGAAGTGCCTGGGCTCACTGTCCTGGAGAATTGCCTTCTAAGAATTGTCTGGTTAGCTGTATATAGCTCTTTAACTGGAAGTTAGACTAAAAACTGGATTTCATTCAAGCTAAAGACTTTCTTTTCAAAAGGAAATATTGTGCCCTTAATGTGACATTACACCATAAATGTTTGTCCAGAGCAGAAGAGGGAAGAGTTGTGTGTCTGTACACATCAGAGGACAACTTGGAGTAGTTGATTCTCTCCTACTACATGGGTCCCAGAGATGAAATTCAGGCCTGCAGGCCGGCTGCAAGCATCTTTACCTGCTGAGCTGTCTCACCAGCTCATAGTAGGTTCTTAAGTTGGAACCTGTGGACAGGTTTAAGGGTGAATTCCCTGAAGTTGCAAACAAAATCATGTGTTCTTGCATGCTTATTAATAAAAAACAAACTTCTAGTTTCCATCAGATCGTTTTAAAGACATGCAACTGCTTCAGGTGCTGAAGAAGACTGGTGGGAGGCTGGAGGAGTGGCACTCACTTACCTTGAAGGGTGCTGTTGAGTTGGTACCCTTGTCTCAGTCTAGAAGGAGGGGACCACTTCTAACTCCTATTTGTTTTCTTTTGAGTTCCCAGCCTGAACAAAGCTCTGGGTAAGCCACTTATAAGTGACTCCTTGAGGAGGCCTGCGTTCCCACCCACCCCCCAATCTCACGCACCCCTGTGAATCTACGGCAGTGTCTAGAGATGGGGTCAGTGCTCACAGCTATGCCCTCTGCTGTGAGATCCATGTGCTCTGAGTGCAAGGCATAGGCAGGACGAGAGGCCTTTCTCTCCTCTTTCCAAGCCAAAATGAACTCTCCTTAACCAAAATGGACCCTCATCTTTTTAGGGGAGGGGAACAGTTCTTGAGAGCTGTGGCTATGTATTCTGCCGGTCTCATCCTGTCTGTCTGTCCCCCTCTGTTTTGCCCATTCAGGCAAAGCACACAGGTTACATACACCCTGTTCTACTTTTCTCTGCTGGCAGTATAGTGCTTCTTGGCACACTAACTTTAAGGTTTTCCATTATCTCCATTCAGGTCTGAGGATATGGGGAGAGCAGTGTGGAGCCGGATGGAGGGGGAGCTCCCCAGCTGTAGTCTCTAGATGCTGGCAGAGAGATCACTGGTCTGTGAAAGTGGCTGTCAGATTAGTTTATGCTTTTGATTGTTCTTTTTTTAGTAAAGAGAGTCTGACTGAAGAGGGACCTAATCTTGGAGTTTGGCTATTGGGTCTGGAGCCACAGTAAAATTTTAAGACTTTTCTAGGATCAGCTGCTCTGTTTTGTGTGTCTCCTAGGACCCAACTGTCAGTGAAGGCGTTAGGTCACGGAGGATGGCTCTGGAAGGAGACTGGCTCCACTGGCAGCAGGATGGTTTCACTTTTCAAACGAAGAAGAGCTTAGACCTACCTTTTTTTTTTTTTTTTAATTTGTGAGTGTGTGTGTGTGTGTGTTATTTTAGTCTTACCATAATGGCACCACCTGTGGTTTAGAGACAAGGTGAAATGTGTTTGACTTGATGAGGAAGGCTCTGAAGAGTTATTTCCTTTCCTTATAATCCTCATTAGCAGCTAAGAGCCCCAGGCTGGAGAGACGGTTCATTTGGTAAAGTGTTTGCTGCACAGGCAATATTACCTAGCTTTGGATCTCAATGTAAAAAGCCAGCTGTAGTGGTGTGTGCCTTGGGAGGTGTAGACCAGAGGATTCTGGGAGCTCACTGATGAATTAGCCTGACTGAATTGGTGACCTTAGGGTTCAGTGTGATTAGACACACACATAAATTAAAAGTTCCATGGTAGCTGGGCAGTGGTGGCACACGCCTTTAATTCCAGCACTTGGGAGGCAGAGGCAGAGGCAGGTGGATTTCTGAGTTCGAGGCTAGCCTGGTCTACAGAGTGAGTTCCAGGACAGCCAGGGCTACACAGAGAAGCCCTGTCTCGAAAAACCAAAAAAAAAAGAAAGTCCCATGTTAACTAGTTAAATTCACTTAGTAGTTGTAGATTTTTAAAATTAAAACACAAGGAAATATATTTATGGGCAGGCAAGATGGCTCATTGGGTAAAGGCTCTTGATTCCAAGACTAAGGGCTTGAGTTCAATCCCAGAAGCTACATGGTAGAGGGAGAGAACTGACGCCTATAAATGGTCCTCTGCCCTCCACATTTGTGCACATTGGTGCACATTTGTGCACACACAAAATATAACAGATAACTTAAAAAAGAATATATATAAAATCGGAATGCATTGTTTGCTAGCAGCAGATGTGTTTATTTTTTGGGTCCTTGTTTTGCTGCTCTGATGTCACCGTGTATTGATGTTAGGAGAGGGCACCAGTGGCTTCATCGTTACTGTCTTCTTTTTTGTTAGCTTGCTTCTTTTTATTTTACTTTATCGTCACTAAAATTGTTTGTTTTTGAGACGGGGTCTTATGTAGCCCATACTGACCTCCAACTGACTGTGGCTGTGGCTGACCTTGAACTCCTGATCCTCCTGCCTCTACGTCCCCAGTGCTGGGATTACAGGTGAGCACCTCCACACTACGATCTACGTCCGTGTTTGTATTAAATATAAAAATGTTTCTTTCCACAGCTAAGCCAGCAGCAGTATCTTGTCCTAGGAGATCTGACTCACTTCTTTCTCCTCTCTTTAGGGACTTCTGTATTGCCACTCGGTGGTGGTGTATGTTGGGCTGCATCTCTTCAGTTCACACTGGTTGTGTTTTCTGTGTGACAGGGGCATTGCATGCTCATTTTGAGTTTTTTCTCTTTAGTTAAGGACTGAGTTCAGGACCTTGTGCTTGATAGAAGTGCTCTACCACTGAAGTAAATTTCCAGCCCTTCAGCTCTAATATAGTATAGTAGGTATCATTTTTATCCATTTGAATGACTGTATATTCAAAACAAAGTAAGATAAGTGCTCAGAAGTATAGAAGTAAGGAGGTAAAGTAACAGGTGGGGGAGGAAGTCCGTATTGTTCTCTCTCTCTCTCTTTTTTTTTTTTTGGTTTTTCAAGACAGGGTTTCTCTGTGTAGTCCTGGCTGTCCTGGAACTCATTCGGTAGACCAGGCTGGCCTCGAACTCAGAAATCGGCCTGCCTCTGCCTCCCAAATGCTGGGATTAAAGGCGTGCACCACCACCACCACCACCGCCCGGCCCGTATTGTTCTTTCTCAACTTCTGTATTGGTGAATACTTTATTTTCTTTGTTTTTCTATACCAGGTATCTCTGTATATCCTTGACTGTCCTGGAACTCACAGAGATCCACCCACCTCTGCCCCTCCCAAGTGCTGGGACTTAAGGCCTGTACCACTGCTCTTTGCCCTTGTTGATGAGTTGTTGTGCAAATGGTAGACTAGGGAACTGAGGAAGTTTTGTTTTTCCCCATATCTTGTTATTTTTTGTGGTACAGCAAATGGCCTGGGGTGTGTTGATATGGTCTTAGGAAACTGAAATAGGTTAAGGGAACCTGCTAAAAGGAGACTGTTCTTCTCAGTGCCCTTGTGAGAGAGTCTTACAACACACAGGAAGCAGCATGGACCAACAAGTTTCTCAACAGACATTAGAGACTCTTGCCTCTGGAAGAAAGTTCTGTGCGTCTTCCAGTTTGGTCATCCCAGGGCTAGTGTGGGACCTCTTTGTTCCTCTGCTGGTGTCCTATCCTACAGATGTACATTTCTCCTTGTTTTTTGTGTCCGTCTTCTCCTCATGTCCAGATTTTGCTGTCTGTCTGCACTGCTAGGCCTCTTTGAGGCTGGAGGAATGGCTGTCTTGTGATCAGAACTCTCTGTGTTGTAGGTGGCAGATGCCTTTGTGTTCCTTGCTGACTTGCCTGGGCCTCAACATCTTGTTCCTCACTTTGAACGAGGGTAAGAACTACTTCTTGAGGCCAGTGTGGTTTTTCAAATGAATAAGGTGGGCTGAGTGGGAGGGACTACCTCTTTGCCCGTTCGCTTCTTCCTAGGTCTGTTTGGTGTTGGAATACAAGCTCTGGAGAGACCTCGAAGGCCGCTGTGTGACTTTGGGCACGTGATGTTGCCCATCTGTCAAGACTCTATCTTCCTTGTCTCTGAAGGGAGGATAGCAGCAGTCTTTTCTCATTGGCTCATGAGATGAGAGCCTGTGTGTGTCGCTGGGCCCAGTGCCTCACACAGATCCGTAGCCGGCACACTGTGGCTGCTGTATCTGTGCCATTCCCTCCCTTGCTACATCGGTCCTTCCCATTGTGCTTTCCTACCTAGTTTAGGGGCCATTTGTCAATATGACACGGGGTAATGGGATCAGGAGGAGGAGATGAGGAGTAATTTTTTTCCCATATCTGTCATTTTCTCTGGTCCAGCAATTGAACCTTGATGTGCTGAGTGACCACCAGCAGTGGGGAGAGGCACCCACACAAAGCCATGAGGAAGATGTGGGTTAGGTGATGACTATAGATACCCTGGGTGACAGTGTCTCCTGAGGACTTCTTTATGTATGCTGTGACCAAGACCTTTTAGGGATGGGATTGTCAGATACTTGTAGATAAAGCACCCCCCATCCCTGCTTCCCAGGAATTGAGTGAAGGGTCCAGGGTCGAATGTTCTGAGAAGCTGGTTCTTTATTTATGTGTTACACACACACACACACACACACACACACACACACACACACACATTTCTTAGTGTCTCCTGTTCCCTGTGGACATACGGAATCAGTGGGTTGAAAATTACCCCAATTCATACAAAATCATATATTTTTTTGATTTTTTTTTTTTTTTTTTTGAGATGGGTTCTCTATGTAGCCCAGGCTTCCTTTAAACTTACCACATAGCCCAAGTTTGCCTGGAAGTACCCATTCTTCTGCCTCAGCCTCTCAGATTCTGGGGCTACAAATGTAACCACATCATACCCGGCTTTATTTTTCCTTAGTTGGATTTCTCCTTGGTCATATCTCCTAGGACTTCAATATTGTGTTACAGGCGAGAAGTTTCTGCTTTGAGTTTTATCTTTGCGTCATTATCTGTTCCTCAGTCCTCAGGACTCCACGTTATCCTCACAGCCGAAGGGAAGGCTTCCAGTCTGCCTTACGGTAGAGAGGGCCAACTTTCTATCATTGGGGACCTTCCAGCAGCATCCAGACTGCAGATGTAAACCATCTATTGTGTGTGCTGTAGCAGTTTCTAGCTTAGTTTATGGATATTTTGCCTGCACATATGTCTGTGTACTGTGTGTACACAGTGTCTGTGGAGGCCAGAAGGAGGAGATGGATCCTCTGGAACTAGATTTACAGGTGGTGGGAAGCCACCATGTGGGTGGCAGAAGGTCCTGTGACAGAGTAGCCATATTCTTAACCACTAAACCATCTCTCCAGCCCCTGAGACATTTTTTAATGTACTGAACAAGGCTGGAGTTGAGTACCACAGTACTTGGTGTGATGATAAGGTCAATGAGGGAAAACAAAGCTGAGGTGATCAGGTCATAGAGTGGGGAGATCTGGAGTCTCACCCACAGTGTGATCAGGTCAGGCCTCTCCACAGAGGCCTAGATGAAGTGAGAAAGCAAGCATGTGGACTTCAGTGGGCAGGCTCCTGGGCCTTGTTTACTGTTGTAACTGTAGCATTTTTGATCTCCTAGGTGCATGGTACTCCATGGGTGTCTTGGTAATTTCGGTGCCTGCACTACTGGGCTACCTTCAGGAAGTGTGCCGGGCACAGCTGCCTGAGTCTGAGCTGATGCGGAGGAAGTACCACAGCATAAGGCAGGAAGACCTGCAGAGAGTTCGCCTTTCCCGCCCCGAGGCTGTTGCTGAGGTGAAGAGCTTGTGAGTATTGAAGGGAGGCTAGGACTGCTGGGGAGTGAGCCAGCACTACACTGCAGACTGCCTGTGCCGCAGGCTGCACTCGCTGAGTCTCTGGACAGGTTCTGAGCATCCTCTGCTTACAGAGGAAGGCAAAGGCTTAGGGAGCTGTGACTGCGACTCCAGATTCAGCTGCTTCCACAGCCGTGTTCTTTCCCCTAGAGATACCAATCGGGCTCTTGTTTAGGTACCACCTGTGCAAGCCAGTGGAGGGCTTCAACCCGACTTCTTCCATTCTGTGTGATGTCGGACAGCTCGGTTTTTTATGTCTCTGGTCCCTCATCTGTCAGACATAGCGCTGGGCTTACTCAGAAGGTGGTTGTAAAGATGGCTTGAGTGTTGAGTACCCAGGAGTTGTTTGGCGTTAGTTATCATTATCATACTAAACATGACGTAGCTCGCACTTTGAGAAAACGGCTTTAAGACTGCTGAGAATGTTAAGTGTGCCAACATCAGTGGCGGCTGGCATTTCCTGGGCATTTCCTTGGCTCAGGCTGCGTGTAGGCTTTTGACATAAAACAAGGGCGATAGCAGAGCTTGGTCTCATCACGGGGGAGGCTCAGGTGTCTGGGAGTCTCCTCACCCACTGCCTCCCCCCAGAAATAAACTTCTCTTTTTTTGCAAGACACGGTTTCTCTGTAGCTCTGGCTATCCTGGAACTTGCTCTGTTGACCAGACCAGCCTTGAACTCACAGAGATCCACCTGCCTCTGTCTTCCGACACGCGTTCTGTGTACTCCAAACACTTCAGCATTTATTTCTTGAGATCAAGGACATTGTCTTATGTATTCCAGCAGAACACTCAGAATTAGGACATTTCTGTTGATAGGTTAGTACTGTTATCTGCTACATAGTTCATAATCACATTTTGCCAGTTGTATTGATGAGTTTTTTTATATTGATTTCCCCTGGTCCAGGATCCAATCCAGGATCATATATTACATTGAAGATTTTTTTCCTTCCCTGTAGTGCTAAGATTAAATCTGAGACCTTGCCTGCCAAGCACCTGAGCCCTCATGTTTAGTTCTGTGTTCTGTTAGTCTGGGGTGAGCAGTTCCATGGGACCTCAGCATACTCGATAGAGCATGAGTACTGCGTTGTTTGACTCCTTGTTAGATTGAAGGCATACACTTTGAGCAGGACTAGAAAGTGGAGTGTCATAGTCCATATCAGAGCCAGATGGGGTCAGGGAACACTAACCGTGGTCACTTGCTTAAGGTTTGTTTACCCTTGGTTAGTAGTAATCTGTGGAGAGACACTGAGACTAAAGTAGCCTGTTCTTCATCAGCATTCCCTTAGGTGCTGTGAAAGCCATTGGTGGTCTTACCTCATCAGTTCCTCCTGTGATGGCTGAGAGGTGACTCTCCTTACCGTTCCGTTTGCATTTATCTTCTAGCATTCTGCAGTGAGGAAGTGTGCTTCTCATTTGTTACTAGTATGAATGCATAGATTCTTACTTCACTCAGTGGGATCTGATCTATTATAGTCCTCCCCCTTCCATCTTGGAATGTTGTGGGGTTGGCCAGTGGGACCACTTTAAGCTGGTTTTGTGTTCTTCCACCATATTCCCGTCATTTTTCAGTGCCACCTTACTGTATGGCACAACTGAATATTCACATTTGTCTTACAGTTTCCCTGCTCGAGCTCTAGAAGCAGCCGTGTCTCTTAATGAGCCCTTTGGTGGTAGGAGAGCACTGACTCCATAAAGTGCTGCCTCCCAATTGTAATCAATAAAATAATTAAAAAAAAATAGCAGGGACCTGAACTGCTTCACCTCAGCAGGGGTCTCCCGGAGGGGTTGGAATGAGTTGGAGCATCTTTGCCAGGCCATCTTCTCCCTTAGCAGTGTTTACAGACAGTGGCCACTGCTGGCCGACTGTGGTTGCGAACCCAGGTTCCACCTCCTTGTAGCTTCTGTACTCCTGGATTCGTGGCTAGCTTGGTTTGGAGAAAGCAGGGACTGTCCACTCACAGAAGCTCCTATGTCTGCAGCCTGATCCAACTGGAAGCCTTCTTGGCCCGCCTGTGCTATACCTGTGAGTCAGCCTATCGTGTGCTTCACTGGGAGAACCCCGTGGTGTCCTCACAGTGAGTAGCCCCCTTTTTTTCCACTCTACAATTCTGTAGGAATTGAGATTGAATTCTTTCTTTCTCAAGTGAAGCCTTGAAAAGGCTTCTGGCCCACCTACTTCAGAGGAAGAGTACCTACGTCCCTAGGGTGTGGGTCTGCACATAGGCTTTTGAGCTCTAAATGGTTGCTTAGGTGCCTTTTAAAAAGCTACCCAGTAACAGTACTTTAATAATAGTCAAGTAACTCACTCTGTAATCTGCCACCCTGCTCTAGCAGCTGATCTATGGTCTGCTGCCTTCTGGAGCTGCTCCTTGTGTGCCTGTTAGCCTCATGTGGAATGTGAGATTTCTTTTTACATTTATTCATTTAATTATATGTATATGAGTGGTTTGTCTGCATACATATATATACACATACACATATATACTTACATGTAGTATAGGTTGTAGTTGCTGGTAATCAAACTGTGGTCCTCTGCCAGAGCCAAAGGTGTCCCAGGCCAATGAGCCACCTCTCTAGCCTGTATATGAGATTTCTTTCTCTTCACTAATTATATCATAAGTGGTTGCAACAATGTCTTTGGAATTACTTTATAATGTGGACTGTGAATGACTATAATTTATGGAAGCATTCTGTTGTATTTTAGATGATTTCTACTTTTCATTATTAGCCCTACAGTGAATATTTTTATGGACTTTAGTTTTAGTTTTTTGAAAAACTTTCAGGAATAAACTTAAAAGATAAGATTACTATATAAATGAGTGCACACTTTTGAGGTTTTCCTATGTCAATAATGACTATAATTTGATCTATCTAGGCTTCACTTTGTGCTCGTGCTCAGAGGTTCCTGTCTTAACTAGAAAGGGCCCCGTGCAGAAGCTGCTGTTTTAACCTGGATTGTATAGTTGAATGCAGTCATGCTTGAGAACTAAGGGACTTGCCACAGAGACAAGTGGCGCTCTGTTTCAGGCCTAAGCCTGTGTCTAGACCTGAGAGCCCAGACCCTGGAGCAGCTGAGCCGGTGTGTGGGCTCCCACCTGAGACACGGTGTGGTGGCCGTCCCCGGTCAGTCTCACTTGATAGGAGGCAGCAGTGTGGTTCTTTTGCATGCTTCCACAGCAGGGGGCTTGCTGGGCAGGTCTCGTCAGTTTGTGCCAGAGCTGTTGCTCACCTGGGTGCTCCCCACCTTTTCTGACGTTGGATTTTCTGTTCATCCAGGTTCTATGGTGCTCTTCTGGGCATGGTTTGCATGCTCTACCTGCTGCCCCTCTGCTGGGTCCTCGCCCTTTTAAACAGCACACTCTTTCTGGGAAATGGAGAATTCTTCCGAGGTAAGCCCCAGAGAGCCAACAGCTGGGTGGGCCCACTCTGAGGACCTGTTTAGGCTTCCTGCTCCTGTCTGTTTGCTGTGCTTGCCACAAGGGGGCAGCTTCCCACTGGGCTATCTATGGGAGGGCTATTGGTAGATCTCTGGAAGTGTGCTGAGGTTGGGGGGCTGACAGTTCTCTAAGGTGACTGCCATTAGAGGGGTCTCCTTTCCCTTTTAAGACAGACACATCACTCTTATTGATATGGTGGTTTCTAGAAGATAAGGGAGGGTTTTTTCCCCATAAATTGTTACCTATTCCTGCACTGGGGCCACCTAGATTAGCTGCCACATCTCTGTGTGACCCCTGAGTCTGCTGTCTGGCTTCTGGATGCTGGGCAGTCTGGAGAGGCCCTGTGCTTGGATGGTTGCTTTCTTTCTTTCTTCTTTCTGTCCTTAGTTTATGGGTCACTTACTGAATTGGATCACTGGCCGGCCCTCTGTAGCAGAGGGACAGGTGTTGATAGAGAACATTCTCAGAGTGCCACTTACTGTGTCTCTGCTAGGAAATTCTTTCTAGATTTTTTTTTAGATTAAAGGTGTGGTGTGCTCCACCACATCACTTGCTGTGTCCTGTCACCTTCATTACTCTCTGTTCCCTTGGCAGTGGTGTCTGAGTACAGGGCTTGTCTGCAGCGGCGGATGAACCCCAGGCAGGAAGAGCGTGTCTGTGAGAGCTCAGCCCTACAGGATGCTGCGGGGAGGGGTGGTGTGCTGGACAGCACCCCTGCCCCTACGCCAACAGAAGTGAGTGCTGACCATCGGCAGGAGCCGGTTTCATGTCTGTTGAGGGCCTTTCCCTCCCTCTTGTTCTCATAGTCTATTTATGAGGCACAGCTTCTGGGCCAGAGCTGTGGAGCTGCTTCCTGCCTAGTCTCTGGGATGTAGTCTTAACATAGGGCACTGGAGACAGCTGCCTGGGCTTTTCTGAACACTTGCTCTGGGTCCAGTCTTTAGGTGCCCGTGGGGTGTGTCTTAAGAATGCAGAAGAGAAGGCTGAGGCACAGAGTGAGTGCCAAAGACTTTTAGCTAGTAGGTAGGGCTTGGTCTCAGGTGGACCCCGTGACTGTTGCTGCTGTAGGTCCATCTGGCCTGTGGGGTTGGAGGTGCTCCTTGCTGTGGTTCGCATCTTTCCTGTAGCTGTGCAGTTTCCTTGGGGGTGGGACCTGGGGTTGTGGAGCCTGCCACTGGCTTTCAGCAGGTGGCTCGCTACTATAGGGACCAGGATTCCCAACCTTCCTTTTTGCCATAGAGTCTTTCTTCCTAGGATCTCACGCCAGGCAGTGTGGAGGAAGCCGAGGAGGCTGAGCCAGATGAGGAGTTCAAAGATGCAATTGAGGTGGGCAGCGCTCTCCCTGTCCTCTCCACTGAGAGTTGTGTGTGTGTGTGTCTGTGTGTTTCTGTCATCTACATGGGAAGCCAGAGCTCGCTGAGCTAGAATTCACTGGTTGCAATAGTACCACGGGCTCCTTCTACCCTTATAGGTAGAAGGAGCCAGTCCTGGGTGCCCAGGCAGGGATGGCTCTGCTGGCCTGTGCAAGACACTGTTGGGTGTTGGTGGTTTGTCACCTGGGTTGGAGGTCATGTTGTCAAGGGTAGGCCCTGCTCTGTGCCTCAGCCTTTCTGTACACTGAGGTCCATAGATGTCACCTGGGGAGGGTGGGGAAAGTGGTTACATGGCCAAGCACTAGTTCAGGGAAAGTTCAGCAACCTTGATTTAAACAGTGATTTAGACGGGTAGTTTGAAGATGTGTTTTATTTGGCTTGCATACTTTTAAAATAATCCTTTGAGCCAGTGGTTAAAACAGGGCAAATTTCAGTTAGAAATTTAGTTAGAAAATGTAGACTTGCCGGGCGGTGGTGGCACACGCCTTTAATCCCAGCACTTGGGAGGCAGAGGCAGACGGATTTCTGAGTTCGAGGCCAGCCTGGTCTACAGAGCGAGCTCCAGGACAGCCAGGGCTATACAGAGAAACCCTGTCTCGAAAAACCAAAAAGAAAATGTAGACTTGCAACTTTCTTAATGTCTCTGAGTCTGCAACAGTCACTGTAGCGGAGGGCCATCATTTCTTGTTGGATACGTCACATGAGCTAGTAAGATGGCTCAGTGGCTAGAGGTGCTGGTTGCTAAGCCTGATGTCCTGAATCTGATCCCCACAACCCACCTAGTAGAGGGAGAGAACTGACACTGGAAAGTTGTCCTCTGACCTTCATATGTGTTCTGTGGCACACACTCATGTACACACGTAGTAAATGAATGTAGGCGAGTCATATGCTGCACTCCCTGTCCTCTGCTTACTGAGCCTCTGACTGTTGTCCCTGTTCCACTACTGTTTGTCATTTATGTCCTTCTGGAAGTAGGCGGTTGTTGGAAGAGCAAGAGTCTTGTGAATTTTAACTAGACCCTGGATACACTGCTGACTTCTCCCTCCCAGACCTGCCTAGCCCATTTCAGTTGTGACTGCTATAGATTTCCTCAGGTTGATAATGACCGTAGGCTGTGAGTCTGGAGAGGGTGGCGATGGGGTTTTCAAGCATTTTTCTTCATGACCCGTGTTAGGAACACATTTTATATCCAGACCTGGTTCATTCTTTGTCTGTAATCTGTGGAACTAAGTGAGACACTTAACCCAAAAGGCTGCTGTAAGGGATGCTTCCTTTCCTACCCTGTTGTGTTGAACTGTATGATGACCAGCAGGAGAGTGGAGGAGGAGCGGGAAGAGCTCAGCAGGCACAGCTCCTCCCCTGCCCTCTCCTGCCTCTCCCTTTCTGCTATCTCTCTGTTTCTTCTTCTTCTTGCTGCACCATGGGAGGCAGGAGACTCATCTGGTGGTACTGGTAAGTAGGAGCAGGGTGACAGGGGCGGGGCTGGGCAGCTTGCTGAGTTAGCTGTGCCACACTTGGTGGGGCCCACCGTGCCCAGGTGCCATCGCATGTGGGGCCTGGGATCTTTTTTTTTTTTTTTTTTTCTTCGAGACAGGGTTTCTCTGTGTAGCCCTGGCCGTCCTGGAACTCGTTCTGTAGACCAGGCTGGCCTCGAACTCAGAAATCTGCCTGCCTCTGCCTCTCAAGTGCTGTGATTAAAGGTGTGCGCCACCATTGCCCGGCCAGGGCCTGGGATCTTGTAAGTGATGGAATAGACTGTTCTCATAGGAGGAGGATGAGGGTGCCCCGTGCCCAGCAGAGGATGAGCTGACCCTGCAGGACAACGGGTTCCTCAGCAAGAATGAGGTACTTCGCAGCAAGGTGTCACGGCTCACAGAGCGGCTCCGCAAGCGCTACCCGACCAATAACTTCGGTATGGCCAAAGAAATGGTTTTGGCGGGGGGGTGTATGGTTAGGGCTGGTGGGGTTTGGGGACTTACGGACATCTGGGCCACAGGGACAGAGTTCAAGACTTGTAGGCACTGGTAAAGCTATCTATCCATGGAACCTTGGGAAATAAACATATGTCTCAAGGAAGTATGAGTGTGGAGTGAATGGGTGAATTCCAAATAGTAATTCCAAAGGAATTACTGCTGCTGGTCCAGCAAATGACCTTTTGTCTTTGTTCATTGTACGTAGAGGCAGTGAGACGGTCCTGTTTTGCAGAGGATTAATCTGAGGTCACCTAAGAGCTTCATCTCTCGGGGAGCTGGGCTTCAGCTGTTCCTCATCTGGTTCTACTTTGTGTCCTTTGCCTCCTCATCTTCCTGGTGACTTCTCTTAGCTCTGATGTTTAGAAGTGCCTTGTGTAATGCCAGCCCTGTCTTCAGACCTGGGTTTTGGGTCAGATTCTTCTCACCTGGCTAGGCAGAGGCCATACAGGTGTCTGAGGATGGCTTTCCTTGCCCTTCCCTGTCCCCCTGCCCCTCCCCTTGCTACAGTGCCTGTGTTCCTTTGTTAGTAGGGCCTGATCTCTGCCTTTAGGGCAGGTGTGACAGTTCTGCTTCCAAGATGCTGGTCCTTGGGTCCAGTTTCCCAGGCCAGCCTGGGGTAGGCTACTCTGGAATCTCTCTTAGTCCTTCCAGGCTGCTGTAAGAAAATACACCATGCTGGGTGCTTCATAAATGAAGAAAATTTTATTTCCCACCATTTCAGAAGCTGGAGTCTAAGATCAAGGTGCCAGCACAACTGGTTCTGGGTAATAGGTGGCACCCTTTTGCTGGCTTCTCTGGGAGGCATGAGCAGTGTTCTCACTCATGAATGCTGGACCAGTCACTCGCTGAAGGGCTGACTTTGTAATGCTCTCACCTGGGGATTAGGATTCAGTATATGAACTCTAGGGGACCTTCCATTGTGGCTGTCAGTAGATGAGGTGGGTCTTGGGTGGGTTGAGATGAGGGCTTCCTCTGGAGCCTCCACCTCCACATGTGAGTCTTGGTGGTGAGGGTCCAGAACTCCCTGTCCTAGAGACACTGTCCTGGTGAGTCTGGCCCGCCCCCTTCTTTCTTCATGGTAGGGTCACTAGGCGAGTTGAGGTGGATGAGTAAGGATGTGGCTGAGAACAGGCAGAGTGACTGCCCGTGGGAGGAGCAGGACTGTTCTCTATCACTATGTGATCTGGCGTCAGCTCTCAACCCAGATGTGCATGGGGACTGTCCATCTCCTGGCTCTCCATCTCCTTCTGGGCTGCTTTCCTCTCTTCCTGGTGGAGGAGCCATAGTTAGTGAATACCTTTTCTTATGCCGCTAGCATCCTGGAGTTCCTGTTCTCTGTTTCCTTCACATTGCTGTGAGCTGTCCAGCAGCAGAGGGATGCCTGCCTCAGATGCCTCTGCCTTGGTTCCCTGGTTCCGTAGTCTATTGTCCTTGGTCCCAGGGAGCCCCTTTCAGCAAGAGCTGTGGGCAATCCTGGGTGATGAGGAAGGAGCTTTGAGACTGTCATGTCAAACATGTTACCCAGGAGTCACAGTCGTGCCCTCTGCTGCTGATTGCTGCCTGCAAGGTCATAACAGGCCCCAGAACCCATCTCTCCTCTCTCCTCTCTCCTCCATCCACCCCGACTGCCAGTCATCACCCGAGCTGCTGCTGGCTGCTCTGCCACTGCTGAAAGCTCCTCCGTCTCACTGTGCTTGTGGCTTAGGAAGGTTTGTGTTGCTGCTTGCCACCAGTGCTTGAGATTCTGCCCTTCGTGTCATCTTGGAAGGTGCCCTGTTTCAAGCTTTTCTCTTGGAGTCTTCTGATGACAGAAGGCAGGAGTGTGGGTTTCTTGGAGGCGTTTCTGTCCCTCACTGTGGACAGTTGTTTGGAAGGAGACACTATGGAAGGGTCACGTCTAGTAGGCTTCATCGAGGACACGGGTCAGGTTCCTGTTGGTTTGGCTAGATTTCAGGGAGGATATTCTCTGGGTGTTCCTTGATAACCTGCCAAGCTTGTGAGTGTGTGGCACTTGGTGTTGGGAGCGTGCAAGGACTAGAGCTGTGTGTAGCTTGGGAGAGCTGCTCTGAGGAGCGGGCACCTTTACTTATTTTAAATACAGATATTCCTCTCTGCAGCCAGCTAAGATGCTGGGCTCTGCCAGGCTGGGTCCTAAGTGTCCCCCTTGGAGTGAGGAACAGTTTGGGTTGAGTGGCCTGGGCTGGATCGTAGCTCAGCTGCTGCCTTTGTTTCTCAGGGAACTGTGCAGGGTGTGCTGCCACCTTCTCCGTGCTGAAGAAGAGGGTGAGTCTGGGGGTGTTTGCTTGGGGTTGTGCTGTGACTGTGGCCTATGCACGACTTGAGGAGTCCTCACTGGGTCACAGGGCCAGTCCCAACTGTTCGCTAAGGCCCTGTCTTTTCCTTGGCTCAGGCTCATGTTCTGATCAGCCCTCTGTTGGCTGTTTTGTCCTGTCTCATTTCTACCCCACTGAGGCCCCTCTTCAGTCTTATAGAATTGGATGATGGGGGAAGAGGTACTGGTGGGCTCCCTCTGACACTGTTGTTTCCCATCTACAGCGGAGCTGCAGCAACTGTGGAAACAGCTTCTGCTCTCGGTGCTGCTCCTTCAAGGTGCCCAAGTCCTCCATGGGGGCCACAGGTGAGGGGTTTAGGGAGTGGGTCAGGGATCTGCCGTGTGGGGAAGGAGTGAGGATATCTTGCACAGAGCAAGGCAACTCCTCGAGGCTCTCCTCTTTCATCCCAGAGGAGACCACCTGGTTGAATCTTATTTTCATTACCTCAGTAGATTTTTAACAGAACCAAAGTGATTTCCTTTCCTAAATGCTGTATATGTTTGTTGTAAATAAAGCCTGTAGATGAGCAAAAGGAAGACATATCCTGCCCCTGTGTCTCCTGGGCAGGCTGGTTGGGAACAGATCTGTCTGTCTGTTGCTGACAGATCTGAGCATGGATGTGCACATGAAGGAGCATGGATGTGCATTTGTGTTCTTGTCAGCTGGGGTGAGATCTCACTTCCTGCCCTGTGATATGCTGCAGTGTTAGGCAAGGCTTTTTTCTGCTGATCTTACAAGTAGCACATGCTTGTTAACTATAAAGTTTTGAGGTTATTATAAAGAAGAAAGGAAGAGAAAAATGATCCTGTAATCTTACCACCCAGAGATTTTTAACCACCGTTAAAACGTTTAGGGAAAATTTCCTCTGGTATTTTATTTAAAAAAAAAAAAGACTTAAAAAAGTGTTTTGTTGATGCCAGAAGAATTTCTAATGCATAGAACACCTGGGAGAGGCCTGCTGTTGGCATCAGAGCTCCGGCGTGTCTGAGGGCAGGGAGTGAGCTGGGTCAGGGAGGGTGTGGGCTGGGCCGTGGGTGGTCTAAGGACTGGGGAGGCTAATTCAGTACTTGGCGCCTTGAGCCTAAAGGGTACAAAGAACTGTCTCACCGAGTTTTTCTTTCTTTCCAGCTCCTGAAGCCCAGAGAGAGACTGTGTTTGTGTGTGCCTCCTGTAATCAGACCCTGAGCAAATGAGAAGAGAAGCCAGGCTCCATCTGTCCTGGGGCCAGCAGTAGACTCTACTGTCCCAACTCTGGTCCTCTGAGGCCTGTGCTGGGCAAATGTAGCCTGACAGCTAGGTCGTTCCTGCCCTTCCCCTGCTGCCTCCAGCTGGGCTAGTGATGATCTAAGGCCCAGGTGGAGAGGAGCCTCTGGGGTCCTGGCTGTTGGTCCTACTCTACCCTATACCCTGTTAACTCAGGGCTGGCCAGGGAGTGTCCACCAGAGGGCAGAATTGAGCACAGCCTGCTCTCATCTGGGCTCTGGTGGTCGAGGTCAGGCTGGCTAGGCCTTAGGATTCAAGAGACCTGAGGTTGGGTAAAGAGGGTCTTCTCTGTTGGGTACTGGGCAGTCTCTCAGCCCCAAAGAGCCTGCAAGGGGACTTAGCACCATGGCCTGGCTCTGTCCTTTGAATAGCCTCAGGATATGTTGGTTTTTAGAGCTAGGATTGGAGTTCCCAGGTGCCCCAGGGGAGGGAACATGAGGGTGCTGGTCAAGTCCTTCCGTGTCAAGTGGATGGCAGTATGGGGATGCTCTGCCTACAGAATCTTAGCTCCCATGATCCTCTGGTGTCCTCAAGTCCTGCTGGGGTGGCTACAGGACCCTCACATCACTCCTACTTCCTGCTCTGAGTCTAGGGCACCCCCGCCTTTCTCCCACTGCCACATCTCTAGCCCTTATCTCATGAGACCCGTGGGCAGATGAGTGGAGCAGAGACTGTAAAGCCTGTGAGGTCCGGGGAAGTGCAGGACCGCCTGGATCTCAGGGCTGCTCCTGGAGAGGAGTTTACATTGTAGGATAGGGTCAGATGGCCAGTGTTCTGTTCCCTCTGCTCTGCCAAGGGGGTGCTGCACCTCCTCCTAAGCCACGTGCTGGCTCAGGCCCCCGCCCCCTCCCCTGGAGCTTTTTCAGAGTATTTATTTATTTATTTCATGGTTCCTGGGAGCATGCAGCAGAGGGCGGGATGAAGAAGATGAGGGGCTTCTGCCTGAGACCCTCCCATAGTCACGGACTGCCCATGGAGCTGCTCCTTGGGAGCTTGCATTGGTAGCAGTGGACCTGTTCCACTGTCCGAGCATGGACATGGTCCCCACCCCTGAGCCGCCTGTGTGACTCCCATCTGAAGCCCTCTTTGCTGATAGGCCACACAGAGCAGGGAGGGTTTGACAGTGGGGACAAGCAAGTGAGGTGTACCCCTTTGTCCTGGTGAGAGAAGGTCACCTCTGTGTGTCTGTACTGTAGAGCAGTAGAAAGGAGCTCTGCGTGGAGACTTGTCAATAAAAGGCCCCCTGCTTACGGTTTTGTCAGGTCTCCTAGTTTTCACGTTGCTCAGGGTGGACTGTGGGTGGGTCTTTGCACACCTTCTGTGGGAGTGCATGAGCTAGCCAGGCCCAGCAGAAAGCTGTGCCTTATCACCAGGAGGGGTGGGCTTTGTCTGTGACCAGACCCAGGGCCTTGGATTGAGGTTGAGACCAGAACTTAACTATAAGTAATGTAGGCTTCAGAATGGAAAGGTTTTAGCTAATCCTCTGGGAAAGACAGAAAGGCCAGCACTGCAGGAGGCTGCGAGCTGCTAGAAAGGTCATGGAGGGGTGAGGTGCAAGGTGGCCCTGTGATCCAGGTCAGGCTGGAGCTGGGCACTGCACACATTATGTTAGTGCTGGCAGCAAGCCCACAAGGCAGGTTGTTCTCCACATGGTAAGGCCGGCAGTGCACAGCAGCACGAGCCAGCTTTGAGCTCAGCCCCACCTACCATGGACCTGTGTGCTATCATCATCCTACAGCCTTCAGAAAGAGTGCACATCTCTGTCCTGTGTCCTTACAGCAAAAGTCTCCTTTGCTGCTGCTGCTTCCTCCTCCTCTTCTTCTCCTTCCTCCTTTTCCTCCTCCTCCTTTTCTTCCACCTCCTCCTTCGACAAAGAATTTTAACTCTTTTTTTTTTTTTAAGAAGGTATTGGAGAGTCCAGAATATAGTTTGAAACAGTTGATAACCATCTTATTGAAAGGTGACTGTCACTGCTCAGGAAGGCTGGCTGTAGGGTGTAGTCACAGATGTGAGAAAAGGGGCTTCCCCTTTTTGTTTGTGAGAACAGGTGGGGAGGCTGTCTTTAAGTACAGGTTCCTCTTAGGGAGCAGAGCCACCAGGGTTCAGCAGGGTTGGTGGTGGTGTCACCATGGAGCCTGTGGTGCAGAGATCTCAATGTGGGATGACAGACAGCTTGCACGTTGTGAAATTGGATGTCTGTGTCAAAATACACCTGCCAATTTGATGAGCACCCAGGAACAGAGACAGATAGCCAGGTTCTGTCATAGTCCTGGCACGTGGCAGGGAGGGTCTGGAACTCTGGCATCTAGCCTGACTTGGGCTCAGGTCTGTTGAGGCTTTTGTAGTCTGGTGTGTCGATGCCTTCAGAAAGTCTTGGCAGACCTGGAACAGGCAATGATTTGGGGGTGTTTTCTGTAGCCCTTGGGGCTGAAGCCAAATGAATCTCCTTTTTCAGAGGTCTGTGTCTGTCTGCACACAGCTGGCCCTGTTCACAGATCATTTGCCAGGGAACATGTCTAGCCAGTAGCTCACGTCCCACGGTGCCACTGGTTTATCTAATTTGTGGATATTTTAAATGGGTAAATAGAGGCACAGGAGGGTTAAATGACCCACCCAAGATGGAGTGGGAATTATGTTGCAGGTGTTCATAGCAGCCATGGCTAAGAAGCTTGGGTAAAGGTCACATTCTGGCCCCCACTCTCTAAGGAGATAGCCACTGAGCTAACAAGAATGGTCTGCTCCCTCCCGCCCCAAGCACCATCCCCCTTCAGTCTCTACCAGAACAGAGGTAGCCTTGTGGCAGGAGCCCCCTCCTTCCCCAGCTCCCAGTGACCCTACCTCCTGCCAGCAACACCCCAGCAGCACATTCCATTCTCTGGCACTGCTGGTGGCTGGGGATTCCGGGTTCCTTTGGCGACGATCCTTCTTCGGGGCTCTAGCAGAGTCTGTTTGGGCTGGGACACTGGGCTCCAGCCACACACATTCCAGCAGCAAACACCCCCCACATTAGATTTCCCAGGGAGTGAACTTTAGTCGGGATTACAGATGGCTGCACAGTTGTGGGATGTGAGCTTGTTTTGTGCAGACCTGAGGCTGGACACTGTAGGGGTGAAGAGGGATGGGTGGGAGTGGCGGGCTTCTCTGCTTCTGCCCGGGCCCTATAGCATCCCTGAAGCAGCTTCTGGCAGCCTTCACGATTGCCTGTACCCATCCTATCTCACCTCTGTAGAAGGTAGTAATAGTCTTCAGACTTTTAAACTGTAGGCTGTGACTCCATACGCTGTCCTGTAACTGCATGTGAGGATTAGGAAAAGTCTGGTGACAGTAAAAGGCTATCAAACACTGAGCAACTAAAAAACAATTCAAAACCAAACTTGGAAATCAGTTGGAGGTGTTTGTGGAGCACTGTCCTGAGCACTGCAGCCTTGGTTCTACACAGGACAGGAACCCTGTACACTCTGGTCCCCTCGTGCCACAACCAGTGAACACCTTGACTCACACAGATGAGATCACTGCATGTAGTGAACTGCGGTGTTTTTACTGTACATTCAGTTCCTGCTTTTACAGGAACGGATGGTTTACAGAACATAAGGACTGACTATTGCCCCACTTGCATGTAAATATCAAAGTCTATCTTTGGATTACATTATGTTGGAATACTTGATTTTAAAAATTATGTTTGTAGGCTGGTGCGATGGGTCACTAGGTAAGTCCTGGCCACACAGGCTGGACCCAGAATTGGATCCCTGGAACCTGTGTTAAAAAGCCAGCTAGATGTGCTCCATCTGTGACCTCAGCATTCCTACAGTGAGATGGGAGGAGACAAGGAATTGCACTGGAGCATGCAGCAGCCTGGCATAAACTAGAGACTGCCTCAAAAAGATTGAGAGAGAGGGCCAATTCCTCTGGCATCTACATGTGCACTGTAGCACAGGTAATAATACAAATTAAAAAAGAAATGAAAATGGCTGACTTCAGTTTCATAAAAAAATTTTCAGTGAATTTTGACTTGGATCAAGATAGAATTCCAAACAATTTATGAAATGTCTCTAAACATGCTTCTGTCATTTTGTACTGTGTTTCTATATGTAGAACAGCATTCCTTATTTTTTTTAATTTTAATTTTTTTTTCGTTTTTTTCGAGACAGGGTTTCTCTGTGTAGCCCTGGCTGTCCTGGAACTCACTCTGTAGACCAGGCTAGCCTCGAACTCTCGAACTCAGAAATCCACCTGCCTCTGCCTCCCAAGTGCTGGGATTAAAGGCGTGTGCCACCACCGCCTGGCTAATTTTAATTTTTAAATTTTTTTGAAACAAAGTTTCTCTGTGTAGCCCTAGCTGTCCTGGAACTCACTGTGTAGACCAGGCTGGCCTTGAACTCAAAGATCCACCTGCCTCTGCCTCCCAAGTGCTGGGAATAAAGGCGTGCCCCACCACTGCATGCCACAGAACAGCACTGGAGATTATAGAATCAAAACTGATCATCTCTAAAAACTGAAAGTGGTGTGCATCCTGCAGTATCAAACACTCAGACCAGGTTTAATTCCTGTTTAAATGCAAACACATCTGTGGCATTAGTGCGCAGGTTTGATTTCATCCTTAAGTGGTGTGTGTATGCCCAAGGATTATTTTGAAATTGATTTATGGCTAAATGTTTGATTTATATACATATATAGATTTTAACATATCTATACCTAGAAGCAAGTAAACATTTCTTGGGTGAAAGATTCTAAGTGGGAAGTGTTTAAGAAGTCCTGGGTAGTGGTTTAGAGTTTGAGAACAAATGAAGCACCACTATGTATGATGTGCAACTCCGTCAAGAACCTTACCCTCTTTGAGCCGTAGTTACTAAAATGTGCCACCTCTGGCTGGGCGTGGTGGGCCCATCTTTACTCACAGCACTTAAGGGTAGAAGCAGGTGAGTCTGAGTTTGTAGCTAGTCTGGTGGTCTACATAGTGGAGTTGTAGGCCAGTTAGGGCTACACTGTGAGATCCTATCTCAAAATGGCAGCTGTAAAGCTTAAATTAGAATTCAAAAGTGCTTTTGAGTAGTGCCTGCTATTCGCCCTAACATGGGTTTATGTGCTACCTAGGGGTATAATTCTGAAGCAAGCAAAACCCCAAATGTAGTTTCTGTATTTCTGGCTTTTAGGTAAGACATACCTGCTTTTCCACGACCTCTTGTCAGTCATGTATCTCAGTCGATTGAAGAATCAATTGGTCATTTTGCAGGGTCCCTACTATGTGTGGGCACTGTCGGGTTAGTGAAAATACAAATAGATACCAGTGACCATCTAAGCTCTGCATTATGTCCAGGTACTTGTCGCACATTTGACAGCACTGCCGTATATCCAGGGTTGCCTGGCTACTGATTCATAGGACCGGAGGCCAGAACTGGACTACACTGCCTCTTCTCACCTCCACCCTGAGTGCCAGGTCCCTTGCTCCCAAGTCACTCCTGTTTTCTATGAGAACGTTTTATATTCAGGTGAAAACTTGATTTCCTCAGCTCTCTTGCAAGTAGGGAGTGGTCATGTGATCTAGACCTGGCCTGGAGCTGGATCTGGCTGGAGGTGGATGTGCTTGCCTGCTGCTAACCTGCTCAGGAGGGTGGAGGCTTCTGAGTTGTAGCTTTAGGTCTTGCTGTCTGGAATTGGGAAGAGGTACTGTCTTGTAAGGACAAGAACTGCAGACATCTGGAGCCTGGGACATCCCCAACATATAGCTGCCTGCCTCTAGACCTTTGTGTGGAGAGATTCCATGTGCCATGGGCTGCAGTTCCACTCCTGTGATCAGAGGCCTGTCTTCACTGTGTTCTTGAGTCCAGGTGTGGGTTCCTGCCAACTGGGAAGGAAATTGTTGTGATCAGCAGGACTGGCTAAAGAAAGACTGGCCCAGACCCTTGAAGAGCCTCCCTGCTCTCTGGGAGAATTCCTCTCTATTCCAGAAGAGATTCTAGGTAGACAGAGAACTGAACAAGTGGGCACAGGGCCAGCTCCCTTTTTGGGGTGGTAGGAAGTGCCCTCTTGAGCTCTCCCAGGTGGTGGGCTACAGAAGCCCTCTCCCACCTCCACTCTCTGCTGCCAGCACCTGCCAGGTAAGCATTGGACTTCAGCCAGAGGTGGCCGGAGTCCTGTGTGCTTGGTGGAAAAATAATCTCTGTGCCTGGTGGACCAGAGAAGTGCCTGTAAATATTTGGTTAGAGCAGGAGGCTGGGAGACAAGGCCCAGATTCAGGGAGCCAGGCGGGCTGGGCAGGGTTTGGGCAGGGTGGGTGGCAACCACCTCCTTTGAGTGAGGAGCAACAATTAGGCCTCTGCTGCCTGGGCAGAGGCCCCCTGACTGCCCAGAGGTGATTTATGGTCAAGTGGCCAGGCCACCTGTTAGTGAGGCCTCCGTGGAGGGCAGTTCAACTAGCCCACCTTAGTCTTTGCCAGTGCCCTCGCTGGCCATGCCACCACTTCTATTTTGCCCAGGTGACATTTTTCCAGGGAGTATACTTCCAGAAATGGAAGCCAGAGTTTTCCTTACCTGGGTGGCTCTTATATTTTGGAGGAGCAGCAGGCCTTGACTACTCTGCTCCCTGCTCTTCAGACATCTCCCCAATCTCTTCTCATCTGTGGACAGACGTCACCTCATCTCCATAGTGAACTCTGCACACACAGCAACCTCTCCTCTCCAAGCTGCCTTCCGGGCCTGCGCCTATACCTGAAGCTGCTGTGTGGACCCCAGCCTTCTCTCTTCCCGCTTCAGGTTTCTTTGTCCTAGTGATGGTTCCCAGACCCTGCATGCTACTAAGTGGTAAAACACTGGAGTTTTGGTGCTTGGTAGAGGTCCTGTTTTCATTGCATGGGAGTGGGGCCCAGTATTTGTTAAAAGCTCTGTAGATGGGCTAAAGTCATGTGTTAAAATTCAGATTCTTAGGTTTGATCCCCAGTAATATTCTAAAAATAACAAAGCAGCTTTTATTACAGCAAGTTTGAGTGGGGCCCAAGTGCCTGAATTCCCAGGCAAGTACTCTGTCTCTGAGTGGCAGACATTCCTAGCCCTCTAAGATGTGTCTCTTAACTAGCTCCTTAACTGGCTGCTGCTGGCCCAGGAACATGCTTAGAGTGGCATCCATATAAAGCAGCTGTCACCTATATGTCAGGATTAGTGCCCAGGAGTATCTGGAAACCCCAGGGAGAGGTGACATTGTTCCCTGTGACCTGTTCTTCTACCCTTCTGACCTGGAACTGCCCAAATGGGGTAGTGTATGGCTGGGAGTCTTGGGACTATGGGAAAGGGTTGGAAACATGGTACTTCGTCCCTTCTCAGGGACATCTCTGTCCCTTACTGGTCTGGAGGTGAAAGTGACACCTTGTATTCTTGTCGAACAGTTTTTCCTAGGCTTTCCAAGGAGATGAATGGACCAAGTGTTGGTTCAGGATATTGGCCTTTTCTCAAAGCCATCTGAACCTTCTTACCTTCCAGCCTCTTCAGAGCTACTGGATAAAGAAATTACTTGGTCCAAAGCAACTGTTGTTTTATTTAATTAAAAACTTTAAAAAATTAAGGACCAAATCTGTTGTCTAGAACCAGTGGCCTCACAGAAGTAGCAATAATTTATCATTGGTTGGGATACAGGGATGGAGGAGACAGGGATGGAGGAGGCCGAGCAGGAGCCAGGGAGCGAGCCTGTGGCAGTGAATGCAGACACTGCTGAGCCTGCACTCCAGCCCAGCTCAGCTCCAGATGAGGAGTGGGTGTGCCTGGAGGACATGGAGGCCTTGGCTCTTGCTCTTTGGAGGACTGTGATGACACACAAAGGGGATAGGGGAGGAAAGCTGTTCCCCACCCGCTTAGCGGTGAGACCCACAATTCTTTCTGGAAAGGCCCTCCCCAGGCTGCGGGAGGCCCTGTATCCATCCGTGGGAGGCCCTGTATCCGTCCTTCCGTTTTCCTTCTCTGCCTGTTTTCTCAGACACGGGGCTTCCCCCAGAAGAGAAAGTCCTTCTCCTGGGAAAGGGGGCCTTCCCGGACAGACCCCAGGATTCCAGAACCCTTCAGTCAAGGAGGATAGTGCCACGCCTATGTTTTGGAGCCTGTGCAAGCAGTAGCTGCATGAAGCCATCCTTGTCAGGGGATGGGTCAGCCTGGGAGTGAGGGTGAGGCTAAGTGGGCGGGGACAGAGGGCAAGGCAAGGCACAGCTGGCTGGTTGGGGCAAGGAGGAGGGCCCTTCAGTGGGGCTCGCCTGCCCCATAGAAAAAAGGGTAGTAGAGGGAACAGGGGTAGGAGAACATGAATTTGACTGCAAACTTCATTTCCTTATTCTTCTTGTCCCAGCGGTAGACGGCTGTGAGCAGCAGCTGTCCCTCTACTTTGCGGCCCATGACCAGGAAGCTGCCCGTCAGGTTGTCCAACTGTGGGCAGGGGCAGCTTGCCCCGTTCTTCATGTGCAGGACCAGCTTCTTGGTGTCCTTGCGCTTTAAGGGGCCTGCCTTGAGCAGCTTCTTCTTCTTCTGGGCACCAATCAACTTGCGGTCCCCATTGTCTATCTTGATCTCTTTAATGCGCATCTTGACCACTGTGGAAAGCCAGGCAAAGGATGGTTGGAAGAGGGTCACATTTCCTTAGGACAGCGGGGGCCCTAGGGTGACCACAGAGGCCTAGGGACACATCCTGGGGAGAGGGCCCTCTGGCTAGCTGTACCCTTCTTCCACAGCTAGCCTTCACCACTCAAGAAGCCAGAAAAGAACTTTGCCTACCCAGGGAAGGGAATTGTCCTAAAACATCTTTTCTCCCCTTTTCCTCCACTGCCCCACCCTTTGCACTATAGTGACCTTTTCTTTCCAAAGGGGCTCCCAACATAAAGATTCCTCCAAAGCAAGGATTTCATCATTGCTCCTTTCCTTATTTTTTTATGGATGGGGAGGCTAGGACACAAAACAGAACCAACTTTGCAAAGATGACATGCAGAACTCTGTGGCCCACAGTGAGCTTGGTCCTAACTGGCTTGGCTCAGCTGTCCCAGGATAGAAGATGAAGCTGTGGGGATAGCTAGACATAACCCACCCTGGCCTGGAACACTGGGTATTCAGCAGAGATGCCAGGAACAGGGGACATTACTTCTATTTCAGTCTCTCATGTCCTGGGAGGGCCCCATCCATCTCTTAGCAAGCTAAGCTTGCTCCTCTAAAAAAGATAGCCCAGCCATAGAAGCATCTCCGTGGAAAGTAACAAACACAGCTGTGGTAGCCTTAGTCAGGCGGGGCTGGTTCTGAGCCAGGCTGCTGGGGGCACTGTCAGGGCTTTGGTCCTGTGAGCCCACACTCACCGAAGTCGCTGGAGCACATCTGCTCCATGAGGCCGTCAGCACTGTGCTCCATCTCACACTGGGCACAGATCTTGGTCACTGAAGAGAGAAAGCAGAGTGGGTGGGGTCCCAAACAGCCAGGACAGTACAGGAACCTCCATTAGCCCCCTTCCTCACAAAAGCTGCTCTAATATCCTAAGGGGAGGATGGCAACGACTGAGTGTGACAATTCAAGAGTTCATATAGTGCAGTGACAGGAAGGCGAGGTAGGCACTCTTCTGTAGTCATGACGATGTACACTATGGGCTAAGGTTTATCCCATCTAGTGCTTGCTATGAAACGGGCACTGCCTTTTTTACTTATCGGCAGAGGAAAACTTAGGTGTAATGTGAGTAGCCTAGTCAGCAGAGCTTAGGTAGGGCTCAGGACTGTGGGTCCTGCTCTATGACCAAGATGGTGGTGTTTGCAGGGGCCAGGCAGGTGGGAGGCCTGCAGCACAAGCCAGCATTAACTTTCTCGAAGAAAGTCCAAACCTGACTCATTTTTACATGAAACATCCTAATGTCATCTGTTGACCACACACACCTTTATAACCTGCCTATTGCCCGCTACCCGAGTCGGACCTTTGGGTTCTTTCGCATGCCGGCCTCCAGGTGAGCAAGTCTCACTGGAAACAGAAGTCATGGGTAGCAAGGTAGGATCAGACAGGGTTCTGAGCCCAAGATTCCTGAGCTTGTCCTGCCGTTCATGTTTGGACTCCAAATGGAACCTGTAGGGTTCTGGGGACTGTGGATTTCTTGCTTAGCTGGCTCTATTCTGTTTGCCTGCCATTCTCCACCTCCAAGATAGGGACTTTCCCCTCCCAGAACCCCACAGAGAGGGAGAAGGAGAAGGTGTGAGCCTCCTAAGACCAAGCAGTTAAGATTAGCTTTGAAAGGGGGTGGGGTGATACAAGGAGGAGCTCAGCTGCTTTGGGGGGAGTGAGGGAGTGGAGATTTGAATGTTCCAGCAGTGGGAGCTCATGGGAGCTCTTGCTATCCCAGTTAACAGGCAAAGATTGCCTGCTGGGAGCTATGGGTGTGTGTGTGTGTGTGTGTGTGTGTGTGTGTGTGTGTGTTAGGGGTGGGGGGAGGTATTAGGGGCCCAGGCCAGTGTGGAAGAGGACAGGCATTCTTGGAGAAAGGAGGAGGGGGCGTGGCCCCCAGCCTTGGACAGCTTTGAGGGCCTGCACAAGGAAAGGAAAGATCAATCAGAAATCTGGCGTCATGGCAGTGATGGTATGACGTGCCAGTGGGAAGCAGGGCTTGAGAGCTCAAGAAGCTGGATTTCACTGCTGGGCAAAGGAGGTTCAGAAAAGTTAAGTACTCAAAAGATAAACAGCCTAGGAATGGGGGGGGGGAAGTTAGGGTGACAGGCTTAGAAATGAGGGCCCCTCAGCACTTCCCTAACCACCCGCCTCTTCTCAAAGTTCCCGAGGTCAGAGAAGGAGTAGCGCTTGTCTGGGTGCTGTAGTTCAGGTCAAAGGCACTGCCTAGCGACCCCAAGCATCCTTGAGATGAGGAAAGGCATTTATGTGGGCGTCTCCAGGGCACCCAGGGGTTCCGCAGCTTGGAAAACCGGGCGTGCTGTGAGTTGCACAGGTCAGAGTGGGGAGAGAACCAGTGGGAATACCCAGAACCTCAAGTTTATAAAGGTGAGAAGAAAAAAAGGAGACAGTGCCTGGGCTCTGGACGTAAGCAGTGTGTATAGGGGCTTGGCACCTATCCGGGAGTGCAGATGAGGGTTTAGGGAGAGGATCAGCCCGAGGCGCTCTGGGCGCAAAGGCGCTACCTGGAGGCGCGGTGGCAGGCAGGTGCCCGAACTGCACCGCGATGCAGAGGTCGTTGTCCAGGGGGAACTTGTGGCAATGAAGCATCTCCGGCCAAGGGAAGCCGTAGGCCTCCATGAGCGGCGCGCAGCCGGCGCGCACAGCTTCGCACAACGAGCGGCAGGGGTAGATGGGTCGGTCCAGGCAGACAGGAGCGAAGAGCGAGCAGAGGAAGACCTGGGTGTCCGAGTGGCAGCGCTTGGCCAGCAGCGGCAGCCAGCTGCTTGCTTGCTGCTTCACCTCGGCCAGGCTCTCGTGCTCCAGCAGGTTGGGCAGCCGCATGCGCTTGTAGCCCACCGTGTGGCAGAGCGGCAGGTCGGCGGGGATGTCGAGGCACTGCGGTGGCTTGGAGTAGGAGCGGCCGTGCAGCGGCTCGGCCTGCCAACCATAGTAGTCGTATTCCTGGCCGCGCGCCGGCGCCCCATGCAGCGCCCCGAGCAGCAGCGCCAGGGCGGCCGTCCGCGCGCCCCCGGCCACCGGCATGGCTGGATGTTGCCGTCCGCCCCGACGGTTCGGTGCTCGGCGCCCCGCTGCCCCGCGTGCGCCCCGGCTGGGATGCTCCCTGCAGCCGTCCGCTGCTCGGGTCGTCCAAGTAGGTGGCAGCCTCTGCTCCGCGCCACTGCCGGAGTGATCCAGGCGCCTCCCACCACGGGGCTCCAGCCCAGGCTTCGCCCGTTCCCTAGCCAATCTGCAGCCGCTGGTCCCCCTCACCTCCCACCCCCGCCCCGGGTTGGCGGACCTGGGAGGAACCCTGAGTCTCTCCCGCCTGGCTCCGTCCAGCCTCGCCGCCGCGACCCTGACCCGTCAACTATTCCGCTGCTCAGACCTCTCCTTGTGCCTTTTCCTGGGGATTCAGCATTTTCTTCACCCCTGTCCTCTTCTCCGTCCTCTTATCTTTCTCCACCACAGTCTCTCCTGTTCCTTTTCACACTCACTTCACCTGCTTATCTCTGAGCCTCGGCCTTTCCCTGCTCAGCTCTGGTTTCCCGTCCCCAACACCTCCATTGTTCTTCTCAGATACTGGAGTCTCTTGACCATCCACGCCCTCCTGGCCAGGCAAGCAGAGCTTCACCCTGAGGTCTTCAAGAATGCCCCGAGGTTCTGCCCAATGCCAGGCAGCCTGCTGGGGAGAGCAAAGGGCTAAGGACCTTACGTGGAAGCCAAGGGGCGGGGTGAAGGGAAGTTTGGCTTCTATTTAATGAATCCCTACTAAGTGCCATGCACAATGTGCAACCTTATGAATATTTGGGGTTTTTTGTTTTGTTTTGTTTTTTTGAGACAGGGCTTTTCTGTATAACAGCCTTGGCTGTCCTGGAACTCGATTTGTAGGCCAGGCTGGATTTGAACTCACAGAGATCCTCCTGCCTCTGCCTCCCGAGTGCTAGGATTAAAGGCGTGCACCACCACACTTGGCTATCATTACTCTTGGTTAAGATGGATTCCAGCCTGGGGCAGGAAACACTGTGGGTGTAAGGAGAAGTGTCATTGTCATCCATGCAGACATCAGAAAGGTGTCTAGTGTCTGTCTGGGTTCTGTCTTCCTTCACTTTTCTGTGAGAGGAACTGGAACAGAGGCTTGTGGGAGGAGGCTCTTGTTGGTTTCACTAGACCTCTGGCTTCTGCCCTGGGGATGAGCTTCCTAAGGACTGGAGGTGGGAATGTGGGGTGTGTGAGGGGGAGGGGTTGAGGGGGTAGAGACTGAGTAAGGAGTGTTTCTCCCGTGCTCCTTCCCTTTTCTCTCCGCTCCTCAATATTTCCAGGGCTCCTGGCTTCCAGTCGGCCTGCTCATGTAGGGGAGAGAGGTGGGGTCCACTCTATAGTATCCACTCCACACATAGAACACTTGCCCCGTGCTAGATATAGGTGAGGTACAAAGGCTTGGTACTTAATGTAGCTTCGAGAACACACCAGGCAGAGCAGAGGAAGCAGGCAGCCCAGAGTGTGATGTTCTGGTTGACACAGTGGAGTCCAGGCAGAGCCAGCTGGGGGCTTCCCTTTATGCGCAGCATCGAGAGTCTCTGTAGATGATTATTTAGAGGGCAAAAGGTTGGTCTCCACAGGGAGAGAGAGGAAGAGAGAGAGAGAGAGAGAGAGAGAGAGAGAGAGAGAGAGAGAGAGCGAGCAATCATAACAGTCATAATGGGAAAGGACCCTGTTTGCATCAGAAAACCAGGTTCAAATTCTGCCCCTCCTTCCCAACACCTGTGTGGCCTCTGGCAGGTAAGAGTGATCCTGACCCAGTCTCCTTCTTTACAAATCAGGACTTCCACTGAAGTTGCTGTGATGGCAAAGACGAACGGAAAGGCCTGATGCAGCACCCACATGTAAGGAACACCCGGGATGTCAGACGCCCACAGGGATGAGACTTCTGGTGAATATACAGTAGATGTTCTGAACATCCCCCAAGATGCCTTAGACAGGACTCTGAGCTCTGAGCAGAATGGGACTGTTCTCTGTAATTCACTCCCTGCCCCTCATCTCTGGGCTTGGCCATCTTGTATGCTGTCTGGGAGGTGTGGCTGTGGACACTTACAGGGGCCTTGGGCCTCCCAGGTGGTTGTGTAAGGTGTTGGGTCCTGGGCCAGCTGGTTTGGCTAGGCCGCTCTTGGCATTGCTATGGGTGACCTGGACAGAGCTGGGCATTGTTCCCGTGGCTGGTTATGCAAGGCCAACACATGGCTAGAAGTCAAGCGTGTCTGGGCCTGGAAGCTTAGGCTCTGAAGGGCACTAGGGCTGGTCTGGAGGCCCCCTTGAAGAGGATGATGGGCCTTCGTTACCTGCCAACTCTGATGTGGGGAGGCTTGAGGCTCCCTACCATTGATGGGAGACAGGAGGAAAGCCAGAGTGCACTGGGCTGCTCAGGCAGCCCTTCTGTGGTTAGCCCTTCCCCTGGATCTCGGGCTGAGCTGCTGTCTGATGTGGTGCTGATTCTTGATGAGGTAAACCCAGGGCCTAGGCAGCTCGGTTGAACACCTGACACACTTGGCATTTGTCCATCCTGGGATGTATGTAGTCTGTCCAGGTTCATGCTACTTCCACTGGTAGAGGAGACCACTTGTTCCAAAGAGCAAAATTCTGCATAGCTAGCTTTCGAATCTAAGATGCTTCTCTGATCAAACTTAATTATTTTCATAAACTCCTACCGTTTTCCACATTTTTATTGTTTTTTTTTCCCCAATAGATCTCAAAAGCTTGAACCTTTTCAGAGGGTGAACAAAGTCAAAATTGAGCATAATTTAAAAGTCAATTTAAAACGCAAGATAAATCAATCGATTTCAAGGCAATGGGGTAAGGCAAGTTTATTAATAGACTTCGGATTACATATTATTATAATGAACATATAGGCCATATGTCGTTTTTGGGGTGCTATCAAAGAAGATATCCGTAATTATCTGCAAAGGCCATTAAACCTCTTCTTCCTTTTCCAACTACATTTCTGCGTGAGGCCAGATTTTCATCATCTAGTTCAACCAAGGCACATGTGGTGGCAAATTGAACACAGAAGCAGATAGAGGAGTCCATCTGGCCTCCATTAGCCTGTGCACTGAGGGGGATTTACGGACTGTAAAGCAATGGCATTGTGGTCTTTACTTCTCATTTTGAAAAAGCATAATTATTTTTATGACATTTGTTTATGTTAACATGCAGTGATTTATTAACTGAATTCACAGATTTATTTTTCTTACTTTAAGTTTCAAATACGGCAAATAACAAGAGGGATGAAATCACTCTTCTGGATTCTAAATGTCTTGTTGAGTGAGTGATTGATAGCTGAGACAAGGGTTCGTAGATGCCAGACTGGCCTTGAACTGGGCGCGTAGATGAAGAGCTTGAGGTTTTCGAATTCTTGCCACCATGTCTTAAGTGATTAATTTACAGGGATACACTGTGATCCCCAGTTTGGGACTCCAAATGTATGTACCTAGAGGGTCTCTGAGAGAATACTGTTTAAGATCTGTTGGTCCAGTTATCCTGCCAGACTCTAAGAGAGCTGTCTAAAACCCTGCTCGTGATGTTTATCTTTCTGTCTCTGTAGCTAACCCATTTTGCTTGACATACTTTGAAACTATCTTGTCAGGAGCACAGAGCTTCCTGATTGTTGCAGTCCCTCTTGGGATTGTTCATCTACCTGTTTGGAGTATTCGTCTCTGTTCCTTATTTTTGTTTGTTTGTTTGTTTGTTTGTTTGTTTTTTGAGACACAGTTTCTCTGTGTGGCCTTGGCTGGCCTTGAACTCAGAGATCTGCCTGCCTCTGTCTCCAGAGTGCCCTGTTAAAGGTGTGCTGTTCCTTGCCAAGGCTGCTTGGATCCTTTTAGTGCTTGAGGGAATCTACACTCAGCTAGAACCTGAGCATACTTTCTGTGTGGTCAGTGTTTTACCAAGAGACAGACAAGACTGTCCATTCATACTTTGCAACAAGTCCTGAAAAGAGGCGGCCTTGGGCAGTGAGAGTGACCCCAGGTTAGGTCCGAGAAGTCTGAGTTACACATTTTCAGTGTGTGAGCAAGGCTTTCCCATGTCCTGGGTCCCAGCTGCCTCTTGTGTGATGTGAGGGTGACAATTTTACTCTTTATGCTTCACAGGGTGAGCTCAAAGGGCAAATGAGATACTGAGGGGAAAAAATAAAGAGCTTAGAAATTTACTTATTTTAGATAGAGGATAACTTCACCATCCTGTCTGGTCTGGAACTTCTTATGTGGACCAGATTGGCCTACCTCTGCCTGCTGAGTGCTGGAACTAAAGGTGTGGGCTAGACTAGCATTTTGATGGAAGTGACATTGTCCTTTGCTTTAGAGAGGTCTGTCAGTCTCTGTCACCTCTTCCCTCTCCTGGCTGGGGGAGGTCCTTTAGCTGAGGCTTGCCCTCCCAGGAAAGACAAGACAGACTCTTGTTAGTATTTCAGCACCTGCTGGGGTCACTGGCCTTTCCAGCCTCTCATCCCCGCCGGGACACTGTCTTTGTACAGTGGCTGCTCTGTGTGACCTAATAGAACCATTAGTGCCGTCAGGACCTTTCTGACTCCAGCTTCCTGCTCTTCTCTTAACACTCCAGCCTGTCAACTCTGCCCATGGCAAAGCCAGCATCTGCCCAGAGCATCCTAGCTGTGCAGGCCCCTCTGCAGAGCAGCCTTGGTTAGCAGAACGGGCAGACCTGCCCGGGGATCACTGGACATGCTAGTAGCTTTGAGGACTGGCACAGAGGAACTTAAGTCAAGTGGTCCTGCCATAAGCCTGGAGATTGAAGCCTCTTCAGGCTCTTCTAGAGCCCACCAGGGTCAGAGAATTAAAGCAGAGACCAGGCTTGTCTTTGGGCCTGTGTCTTGATGTCTTGATACAGTTCCAGACTTACCCATCTAGAGGAGGAAAGCAAGAGGGTCAGAACGCTGGTGTGTGATAGGTAGGGCTGCAGTGGGTGTGGCTGTGGTAGGCAGGGCTGTGGAAGAAGAGAAGACCAAACACACCCTCCTCTTCTCCTGGGTCCCCAGGTTACTGGGGAGTCCCCAGGATGTGGGGGAGTCCTAGCCAGAAGCTCATCAGAGAGGCAGTCAAATGTATTTGTGAAGAACATGCTCTCTGAGGCTGGACTGAGTTCTAACTCATCAATGCCATGTGGGTGAGTTATTTTGCACCCCCCTCTTGTTTCATTATCTGTAAACTGAGAATACTAATTCTTGATAGTATTATCAGGAAGGTTACTTTTAACTTTTTTTTTTTTTTTT